GAAAAGACGTTTTGTCCTTTATTACTTCTTATATATATATATATATTTCTCTCTCTCTCTTTCTTAGTGGATTGTTGACGCTGATGGTGCTGATCTATTATCTATCTATTGCCACATATATATATAAGAAGGTTCCCTTAACGAGAGAAATAACGTTTATGATTGCATGCGCACATACAATCTTCTTTTTCTCTATTGTAACATTGACTCATCGATGACGACAATAGTCCCTTTGCAGATAGAAATAGATGAAGAATCTCTCTTTGTGTAAACATGACACGTGTATCAAATCAGATATGGTACTATAACGTGAAGAATAGAAGACTAATTTTCGATCAGATGTAAATATATCAAATCTTACTTGAATTCATCTTTACAATGTGATTGCCATTTGACGTAAAAAGTCAAATATTATGAGAGGATATGAAAGAAATGAGAACAATATTTTTAATCTTCTGTTACTTATTGATTGAGAGTACTCTTGTTCACTTCACAAGTAGGTTAAATGATATCAATGAATAAGATACATTGTATTACATATAGTCATATCAGTAAGGGTAACTTTTATCTAAATAATCCGTAATATTGGTTTTTTTTTTGTCAATGTGAAAGAATAAAATATTCGTTGATGTGTTATTTTATTTTTTGTTTTAGTCAAAATAAATTTATCAAAAGATTATGAATTCACAAAAATCTTGTTATACGATGGAAACCAAAATAAAAAAAAAATGATTACATATACATGATACGCAATAATGTTTGTCTTTTTGTATTACATAAAATTCGATTAATATTATTTCTATGGATTTTTGAAGAAAAGAAATGTATTATCGCTACCAACTTTCTTTGTTTGCTTGTCTGCTTTAATGTTCAAAAGAAAATCTATACGTCTATCAATTTCTATGGTTTGATGATAATATTAGGATGTGATCAATGATTCATCGTTACAACTGTTCGTCAAAATTCTTTTACATCATGTCTAGCAATCTAATAGATATACATCATATTATAATAAAACACACATTCCAAAAGGTCAATCTCTTTTAGATGATTCGTTCATTTGTTACAAATTGCTTTGCTGACTTAACTAATTTTGCAAGCATTTACATTCTATGTACCAAGTTTAGAATATTTATTAAAAAAATGTAATTGATGAAAGTCGATATAAGATTAAAACTAAACGAAATTTTAGGATTATTATGACACTCAGTTTGATTTTCTTACAGAAAAAATTGACCATGCATATTATCGATTAAATTCAAAATTTCAAACAATGAGACATTACAACATATAACAATTTATCCTTCATTATAAGCACTTTCGAGTGTCACAATAAATGAGCCAAAACCAAAAAAATTTATCCTTCATTATCACTATATTAGTAATTGATCGTTTGAGAAGCAAAGTCAATGATTCGATTAAAGTTAATGTGGCTAATAATGATTTTGATCCATACAATATATTTTTCTCATTAAATGACGATGTTTACAATAACTTCGATCAAGCTCGAAATTTTCTATGTTCAATACATGATAAGAATCTGAAAAGATGAACTTTACAAAAAGCAAAGATAATCTTATTGCATGATTTTTCTAGTGTTAGATAGTTAGCTCTTCACATATGAACATAAGTACAATATTTATTGAAGAAAAAATATCAAAGTTAAGAAGTTTTTCATAGCATCTAGACAGAAATTGGAAATTTTTTAGTATTGTATAAATATCGAGTTTTTTTTATTTGAAAACGTGACGTAGTTCGTGAAAATGAAATTCAAAATTCGATTCAAAGATTGATTACTAAAGTAAAAACATGATTGTCTCATTTCAACGAAGATCTTATGAGGAGTTTAGATTAATCCAAATTTGAGTTTGAGTTTTATTCAACTCAAATTCTGTCTTATTGAAACACGAAAACAACGATTATCAGTGTACATTCGATAAAAGCAATTACTCTTAGTTTCACGATTCTATCAACAATAATAACATAACCGAGAAGATTGATAGTTCAGACTGTTCATATCTCAAGAGAGAAAAATGATTGAATATATCAAAATATTAGAGCAAATCTTCCACAGATGAATCAAATTATTCTTACATGAGTACATCCAATGAAGTAATATCATCGCAAGTTGATTACTAGTCTTATAGATATATATCATTCCGTTATTGACTTCATATAAGATACTATTTCTTTCTGATAGTGGATCTAGATCGACAGATCGCCGAAGTATTGATGAGTCAATAAAAGGGTGAAAATGGCTAAAGACTCCTTGAAAAAACGATTTTCAAAATTTAGATTTTTGATGTACAATTCAACCGATGATAAAAAAATGATCATAGGTAAGATTTTACGAATGGATTCATCTCGATGAAATAGATATTTATTTTCTGCAGAAAAGTAATATCATCTGTTTACAATTGTTTATTCATAATCAATTTTCTTATACGATTTTCACGCTTATAATATGCTATGAATGGTTCAAAAGTGTTTATTATTAATGTTGATCTTCGACTCTTTCAAAGAATGATCGAAGTGTATATCAAATTGACACAAATTTACTTCGATACATCTTTATACAATTAGTTGATCTTGATTCGACATAGTCATTGGAGCAAGTTTTTATATTTCCATGTAGATTTTTTTGTTTTTTTTTGTATACTCGTGGTATTTAACTTCTGCAGGTCTATACTAAATTTGTATGACGTTTTAATTTTATTTCGTTCTTCGATACTTACACATCCATACAAGACGAAAGTAATTAAAGTAAAATAAAATAATAAATAAATCATGGAATTTTTTAATTTGAAAATAATCTAATGTAATATAGCGACATAAAATTAAATCAAGAACAAATTTTCATATTTATTCTTTTTTTCTATTCTTTTTATTTAAATTGTAAATTGTAAATCAATATTTCGGACATCACAATGTCCATCATCAGGACGTTCTTGATTTAATTTTATGTCGCTATATTACATTAGATTATTTTCAAATTAAAAAATTCCATGATTTATTTATTATTTTATTTTATGTATTAAATTCGATGACAATTATGGTACAATCTTCTTCTTCATCGTCCTGATGATGGACATTGTGATGTCCGAAATATTGATTTACAATTTACAATTTAAATAAAAAGAATAGAAAAAAAGAATAAATATGAAAATTTGTTCTTGATTTAATTTTATGTCGCTATATTACATTAGATTAATTAAAGTAACTTTTACAAGTATTACTTTTTCACTTGCAAAGATCTGCTCAAATGAATGTTGTATTATGAAATAGTGAAACATGAAAAACTACATAGTTTTAAAGAAAACTTTAAAAATTTTCTTTCACATAATACTTTTATCATTTTGAGGTGAAACTTTCAAATAATTAAGATGACTGTTTCGAATCGACGCAATAAAAATTTCAGTTCAATCGCCTTTTGTTTCTTTGTGAAAACTAAAATTCATAATTCTTGTAAGAATCAACGTGTACCGAAACCAAATTATGATATTTCATGCTTCTTCATGTCCTATTTATGCATTATTTTTCAAGTCCAAAACATTTTCAGCATCTCAAGTAGTTTCCTTTTTTTATTACAAATACTTTAATTGAAACTTGGTTGATCAATTTCGATTTTGTGTTAAAGATCAGTTTTAAGTTGAAATCTGTTGATCAATTAAAACTATTTCAGTTCAAATATTACTAAAATGCATAATATGTGTATAGATTTCATATTCAGACAAAAAATACAGAATGATGCAGTCTGCAAATAAATGAATATATTATATGAATTTACACATGAAAATTGAAAAAAAAACGTTTTAGATAAGTTACATAATAACAATAAAATTTGAATAAAAAGCCTTGATTTGATGTTAATATATAAAGATTCGGATCTTAAAGCAATCAACATCTTTGTATTAGAGTTTATCCGATACACTGAATCATCTTTGTAATATTACTAAAGTTCATTCGCATGTAACAGTCATATGCTAATAAGATACTTTTTAAAATTATTCAATTGTTCTAAATCACAAAATCTCAAAAAACTATTGACAACTAAATTTTTTTCAAGATTCTTTGAATTTATTTGAAGTCTTTAACTATTCGTTCAATAATATATTATTTCTTACGATCAAATCTATGATAGAAAAGAATGAACTTACACCATCATCTTTCTAATGCATTATATACTGTGGTACTGCATGGACAAATGAGAATGTACAGATATTTCATTAATCTGTAAAGAGATTTTATTGATTTTTATATTTAATTTGTTGAACATTTCTTTTTCTTTTCTTCATGTTTGTTATAATTTGTTACTTTTTTAGTGAAAAATATTTTAAACAAACTTGTAGGTCAAGGATTCCCTACAAGTATTTTCCATGAAATTTTTTTAGACTTCACAATTTCTATGAGTCACTTGTATTTGAGTAATAGCAACGAATATTATGTTTCAATGGACAAAATGCGATGTTTACAAAAGATAAATCATGTTCATGTACTCAGTAGAAATTGTTCACTGTATTAGATTTTCCTCGAACTGGCAAAACATTTATCGCATGTATCTTAGACGTTGTTTGGTATAAACTATATTCTGACTGTAGAATATTATTTTCTTTTTTAGTTCAATTTTTGATATTTGCATGTAGATTGCAATGGATGGTTTTACCTAAACAAACATAATCCAGTAGAACACGAGTGATGAATTTTTCAGTATAAAGTCTCATTTATTCATTAGTACCCTGCTAAAATACTATGAGAAGAAAATCATAGACAAATATTGATAAATAAGAAAAAGAGCTGAATTAAAAATAATATATTATTCTGTTATAAAACAATAGAAATTCAGGTTGAAATCCTACATATTTATATTTACAATTTTTTTTCATATGCTCTTATTAAATAAAATACTATTTTTTTTTTCAAGTTGACATACATACACGCAATTACTCGTGGTGGTATAGTGCTCGACTTACATTTTTTATTATTAATATTTTGTAAAAAGCATGCATCATAAACATACTTATACAATATTTTTTGTTGTGCTTTATATATTTAATGTTATACAAGGAACTCATTTTCGTGGTTCTATGATATCTTGGCGTATAATTGATGAATCATCTTCAACCCTTCGTGTTCAAATTCTTCAACGTCATGCTTGGCGGTACACTTACTATTCTCCATACTGTACAGATGCAACTATTGCAAATGGACAACCGATTTTAGGCAGTGGTTATGATATCGACTGTGTCAGTAATTGTCCAACAGGTTTAACAACAATTGGAAGCGTTCAAGTTCCTTGTACTGGTTATAACATTGGTGAACAATATGCAATGGGTGAAGGACGTTTTACCTTAAATATTCCAGAAAATTCTAATTTTATAGCCGCGTTTAGTAATATGGCTTGGTTTGATCTTGTTACAGGAACCAGTTTGACATGGAGTGTTGCTGTTCAAATTCAAACCTATAAAAGAGTCGATACTGGATGGTATAACAATGCACCTATTGTTACTATGTTACCAATCTATCGATTAAGAAATCTAATCAGCTATTCTATCAAAATTAACGTCGCTGATAATGATTTTGATCCATATATTTGTCTTTGGTCTGAAGGTTCTACACAATGTGGTGGACTTAGTAATAGTGTACCTGGTGGTATTGTTGATAATTATGAATGTTATTTAAACTTTACACCAAATACTGTTGGATATTATGCAGCTGCTTTGACAGTAGAGGACTTCGTGATACTACCAATCAATATATCATCAACTAGTTATCTTTCACAAGTACCTATTCAATTCGTATTTCATGTTTACGAATCTCCAGATCCTTGTGTTACTGGACCAATCTATATAGGCGATCTCGTACCAGATATTTGTATCTATCTGTCAGTAGGTGAAATTCGCACTACTCGTGTTCGTTTCAAAGTTCAATGTACTAATGCCACTGTTGAAAGTATAATTAGTGCTAATCCAAGTGGTTTAATAACTTCATCTGTTCAACAAGATTCATTTGATCCTATGATCTTTGCTTTTCTTGCTAATTTTACATCAAATTCTGAACAAGTAGGACAAAATCTCTTTTGTTTTTCTGCTGTTGATTCGATTGGAAATCAAGGAGATTCAGCTTGTCTTCGTTTTGCTGTATCATCACAAACATCTAGTCTTCAACCATTATATAGATTGAATGCTACTCGATATCCAATGGGAACAGTCTCGAAAACAACATCACTATGGACTATTCTCACTGGAGCAGAAGTTTATCAACGTCCAACAACTGAAACATATATTCGATTCAAACGAACATCAGATGATGCTGATTTTTATGTATTAAATGCTGTGACTGCAACAGCCAATGTTTTCTATTTAAATGATCGTATAGTGATAAATTCAACAGTTGTATGGACTCCAGGTGAATATTTTTATATTTATTTTGATGCTGGTGTATTCGTAGAAGCTAGTACATGTTCGAAAGAAGCGATGCCAATTAGTGATCCAAACTTTTGGCCATTTGATATACCATATGAGACGACAACAACAAGCACAAGTAATTAGATCATTTGTATTGTAACAATATAAATATGAATGACTATTATTTCTAGGTTCAACAACAACAACATCTGAATCATCAACAACAACAGCACGCACAGTAAATATATAGTTTTGTGTTATATTTGTTATCATTCATTTAGAAGTACATTTTACGTGAATAGAAAATTAGATTGTCAAGTGCAATTTACTGACTATTATTAATCGGATGAGTTAGATATAACGTAATATAAGTCATGCATAGTATTAGTAAGATTGACGTTTTAGAACTAAGTTTTTATATGAGAAAGCATTATTGACTAAGTAATGAATATTTTTGTCAAAGATATAAACATATTTATGATCACTTATGATTAATACAAATTTTTATTGGAGGAATATTTCATAGAGCTTTGTTTTCTCATTCTTTTAATACGTATCTATCTAAGTTCATTTTCAATCTGATAGATGTAGTTGATAAATTACAAAAATCTATTTTTGTCTCTTTATGAACTTGCGGACAACTACATTAAATAAGATCAAATACATTGATTGATAAACTAATATTGCATGTGTAGTTAATTATTATAACTCGCACTTCTTTATTGATAAGAACAATTTTTTTGAAAAGTTTTATTTTAAATCCAGCAAATATTTGCTCCTAAGACATAATGGATCAATCTCATTGCCATAAAGTGTGAATAGCAACAAAATTTTCTTGAAAATCATTCAAGTTTTCTAAAAGAACTATGTTATGTATTAATTCTCATCGAATAGAAAGAAAGATTTGTAATGAGTAGAAACTTATTTATTTTCTTGACCTTTTTATAAAATTTACTTCAAGTGCTAATTCATGTTTTGAAAATATTATTAATGCTTTGATATGATAGAAAGAGAAAATATCATTTATTTCTAATATAAAATTTTTTTTTCTACTAAAAGATACCAACACGTCGAACCCTCATCACATCAACTACAACTACCTCAACAAGTACTTCAACAACAACAACAACAACATTCACAACACTTACTTCAATCAGAACCACTCGATCAACAAATTCATTTCCAATAAGTGCAATTGTTGGTATTACTCTTCTATGTCTTTTCATCTGTGCATTATTGATATGGTTAATTTGTTCAATGATTCATATTGCTTTGATTCGTTTTCTTCTTCTCGAATTTGGTCTTTATCAACAACTAGTCAACATTCATTCAACATCAACACCTGATTTATTTTATGATTTAACAAAGAATGATCATATTACATCAACTGTCCAATATAAACTAGCAACACGTCATCGTCAACGACAAAGCATAAGCATATATTCGACCCTTAGTAGTGACACTTTCACTCAAAAAAATTTAGTTGAAGTACAAGTATAATCTAAGATTTTCCTTCTTCTTGGACATTTTAATTTAATATGAATTATGCGTCCTGACATAATTTGAACTGAAATACAAATATCACTTATGTAAATTCTATAAATAATTTTTTTTTTTGTATATGTTATGCTCACAAAAGACAACAAAGATATGAGAAGATCGCTGAATATACTCTTGATTCATTTCATATGATTCAGAAAAATGCTTCATTCACATGTTTAGCATTACTATATAGGATTTTCAAAAAATTAATTTTTTCTTTTGAGTTTTTCATATTTTGAAAAACGATGCTACTTGATTATAAATATTATGATTAAAAAAAAGGATCAGATGGAGTTCTTCTTGTAATTCTCAACCTTTAATTTCCTACATTTCGTATATAGCTACAAACTTCTCTATTATTCTTGATCACTCGTATTCAATGTCTATTAATAATTGCATGCTCGCAATATTCGTCAGATTCATTGTAGTATATTATCTGCATCTTAGATAAACATTTGAAAAGTAGATGTTTAAATGATTCTGAATCGAATTTAAATAAATTGCAGAATGATAAAGAATTTCAAGCAGTATTATAATACACAATTGTTTTTTATAATAAATTTCAAAAAATATTTGAAATTACTTTCTTCAAATGATATTTCCATGAAATATATTTTCCAAGCGAAGATCTTCAAGTGTAACTAATCAGTCGAACATATACTTTACCTATAAGTAAACCCTAATGAGACTACTGGAAGCCTATAATGGTTCATTCCCATACTCTGTCCATCTATTCCAAGTTGTTGCAGTTTTACTGAATTTTTTCTATCTCTGACTAAGTATTGGTAAAAAAATTGAATTAGAGAACTTTAACCTGAAATTTTGCTTATAGATAGCTCTTGTGCACATTGGAATGCGTTGGAAATTTTAGTCTAAAAGGATATGTTCTCTTTGAGTTATTGAATATCCAAAAAGAATCATATACCACAAGGAAAGATAAGAACAGCTAGCGTTTTCAACATTCGATATCTCAAGAAGGACACATTCTTTAAGCCTTAAATTTCCAGAGCATTATAATATTCAGGAAACCTACCTATGGGCGAAATTGCACGTCGAAATTCCCTAATTTGATTTTTTAATAAATATCTTGTTAGAAATAAAAAGTCAAATTTTATCTATCGTTATGGGAAGCACCTGTTCAGACGAGAAGATCTGTATAACACACTGAAAAAATTCAGTAAAAATATAATAATTTGAGAAGCACAGCTCATAAAGACGAACCATTATAGTCTTCTACTAGTCTCATTGAAAGCTTACTTATAAGCAACATATTAGCTCGATTGACAAGTCACACTTGGAAGCTTTCCTTTATTAGATGAACATTAAAATTTCATTCTATTATATTTATTTATTGAACCTTCTATTAATTGAACTCATGAAAACAATAATGAATAAAGAAATTAAACTAAATACAATCGCATACAAATGAGAGATGGATACATATTTTCTTTATTTTGATCATTTCAGGTTGGAAAGACAAACAGAATCAAGTACAATGATAAATAATAGCACAAAAAAGAAATGCATTAATTTTTGGAAGGATTATTTAGTTAAGGCAAAGAAAAACGAATCGAGAATATTCACATATACGCGCATCAATGAATATACATAACTGTAATAAGACATGACTAACAAAGAAAAAGAAAAAGAAAAAAAACGATAATCATCACTACATCCAACTCGTTATTTCGTTTAAACAAGCACCCAACATAGAGAAAGAAAAGACAAATGCACACACCGGAACAAGACGAGAGAGAAAGAGAGACAAAAAAAAAAGAATATCTGAGTTTTAATTTTAAACAACAAAAAAAATGAGCATTCAAACCAAAGCGAGAAAACACAAATATGAAGTGTTTGCATTAGCTTGTCTTTATTATCTATTCACTGTTTTGACTGTAGAAGAAAAAACAAAAACATCTTTTATCTCTGATGATAAATGTGATGAAAACGCAAACACCACCGGAGATGGTCAATAAAAAAAAAAGCAAAGAAAGGCAGGACTAGCACGTAAGGATAGAAATACAATTGGATAGATTTGCTTTTTGTTCATTTACTCACTAAATTAACGATGAATATTTATAATTTGTTCATTTTTTGTTTGTAATGAGATCTATTCATTTAAGTCATAAAATTTCACTGTTGTTTTGTTATTACTTAATAACCAAAAAAAGAAAAAAAACTAACATCAGACATTTATGCACAAATTATAATATATTATCATTTTTGATTGATCATCAAAGACGTTCGAGAGACTTTAACCAAAGGACGGAAAATAAATGTAGAACGGAAGAAGAATTTTTTAGAAACTAGTATTGCAAACATCCATGGCTACCTACTATTAGAAAGGGAGTTTTTTAAAGAATCAATCACAGGAAAAAAAAAGAAAAAAAAAAGAAAATGTGCATATTAATGATAAGATATGATTGACTTTTATTTTACTTATTGCCATGGGATTGCATGTTGTAAATAATTTGTCCATATATTATTATCAAATGATATTTTTGATTGAAATGGATTATAATCAAAATCTTGATCATATGTTGATGAAGAATTTGTTTTTATTGGAATGTTATTTCTATTTGGTCGTGCTATTATTGTTGAACGTTGACCAACAATTTTACGCGTTGGCATACCATTTAATTGCATAGATGATGATGATGATGATGAAATTTGTTGAGGAATATGTTTTGTTGAATTTATTTTTTGAATATGATTAACATCTGTTGTTGTTGTTGTTGTCATTTCTGATATACGTTCGAGATTCCACCAAAAATCTCTACTTAAACGAGTTATCCATGCACTATCATCACGTAATAAATATCGATCTATATAAAAGAAAATATTTATTAATTAAAAAATTATAAATTCTATTTCTTTTTTTTTTTTATATGTTCATACCAGCATTTTCAAATACACTCCAATCAACATCAGGATCAGTTAATGATAATGTTGATTGATTAAATGCATTATTTGGATTATTGAAATTTATTAAACTGTTATCAAAAGCTAGAAATAAAACATTAAAATAAAGTTATATATTAAATTGTTTCATTTACCAGATGATTGATTCATTGTCATCATCATGTTTATTTGACTTTATTTCACTGATATAATTCAAAAATGTAGTTATAATAAATATGAAAGACAAATATGTCGATAAAGTGTTTCTTATGGTCGGATATAGAACCAGTATGGACACAAATGAATAATAGATTCGAGATGATGATCTGGAAAAAAGAGCAGATTTTATTAATGATGGCATCATATCTTACAAGAACTATGCTGTAGACTGTTAAGATCGATGGCACCATTCGTTTTTTTCTCTTCTCTCTCTCTCGGAATGGATATTACGCCGTTGATTTTGACCTCGCAGTGCATTATTATTTTATTCGCCCATCAAATTAAAGAATGAATGAGAATAGGAAAAAAAAACTGTTACCCATAGAAAGAGTTCAACACACCGGATAAATAGATGAACTGTTATAAAGAGTGTGAGGGCGCACAAACATTACTAGTCACTTTTCTCGTACTTAATGTAAAGAGAAAAATATGCGTAAACATATCCACATACGCATATATGTATCAAAAAGCAACAGAAAGAATATTTCTATATATGAATGTTAACATAACAAAACAGAAAATTCAATTACTGTAGAAAACAGTAAACAATTGTCAGACGACGACGTCTATGTCGTATGTTAAGATGAATATGGCTAAATGTGTCTTGTTGTTGGTGTTGTTTCTTTTTCTCTAGTGAGATGAAGAGAAGAAGAAAAAAAAAGAAAGTATACGAAAGAGATGCAAACATATCCTTAACATCTTCACTTGCTTTGTCTAAATGAAGATAATATAATAACAAGAGACGGGAGAAATATCCGTCCATAATCGAATCGATGATAAAGCAGTTTTATCATTCTGCTTTTTTTTTTGCTCGTCATTTTCTATTAAACACGGCTTTTTTTCTTACTCATCATATCTTCATGATGACATTGGATTTTTCTTATCACTTATCAAACAAAAAAAAAAATGAAAACGAGGTAATCTTATATATTAATGACACAATATTTTTCTAGTTATTTCGAAAATAGATGCATGATGAAGAAATAGTTATCATGTACGAGAGTATAATATAGAATATGAAGATAAAAATAGTCTATTACCTGACAAAAAGAAAGCAAAGAACTAGTTGCTTTCTTATTTGGTCAAAACAAAACAAATAGGACAAAACGGAAGAAGGATTGAAAGCTGCATGGGAGAAAAGAAAGAAAGAAAGAAAGAAAAGAGAAAAAGACCAACTTAATGGGAGACAGAAAGAAAAAAAAAGGTACACCAGAGAGTAAATGTGGATAGATGAGAGTCTCAAGTAGAAAAGAGAAAATGATTCCTATTGATTAAAACATGATTGTGTCTTGACCCAACCAATTAATCTATTAGATTTTTGTCAAGTTAAAAGTGTTTTTTTTATTTCAAAGAAAAAAAAACTAAGAACGAAAATTCTCGTCTACAATCAAAATTTATCTATGTAATCTCTTTCAACAGAGGACACTATACAACAGAAATAAGAATTACAAACAAGTTTCTTTATAAAATAAAATATACATGTTATAGAAAAATTGATGAGATGAAGAGAAAAAATTTTCCAAGTTTTTTTTTTATTCATATTCGCTTTAATCGATATGCTAGTTAATGGAACAAAGTAGTAGCATTACAAAAAAAAAACTAAATAAAAAAGAATCTGTTTAGATTTTTCCTATCTTAAGTGATTATATTTCGTTTGATTTATTGAATGAATTGGCAGCAACAGAGACCTGTTCGAATGTGGTTCCATCCGATCAACTGTAACTTAAATCTAATAATACTCTACCATGATACTACCTTTCAAAATTTTCATACTATATAACAACGGCAGAAAAATAAATGTTGATTTGTTTGTTCACATACTCAATCTTTTCATCTTTTGTTTTATCATTATAATTATTGAGCAAATTTCTTTTAATATGTTATTTAATTAAAAAGTCTCATGTAACCGTAATGTATCACTAACTATCGAATGTAAGATCATATCTAAGTAACGTATTCTTTGCAAATAATACTCAAAAGAAAATTGTTTATTTTTGATTGTCTAATAAGATCTATTGTTTTTCATACAACACTCTCAAGAAATGTCGTCGATTTTTTAATAATGAAAATCAAACAATATAAATAATCTTTAAAATTACCGAGACATACTGTAGAGTACAAAAAAAATTATCGTTCGAATTTTCCAAATTTCTTCTATTGAAAGCCATGAATATTAAAATTCTTTTTATGGATAGTTTACACGTATACTACAGTCTACCATGGTAATATTGAATAGAAGATATACTCTGTTTTTGAATTAAAAAAAAAAAAAGAAGTAGACCTTTCTTAGAAGGGTAAAACCTATATAGTTCTTTGTGCGAAAGTCTCTGCAATTCATCACAATTTGAGAGTATCTGCTTCCAAAAAAAAAATATAGTTAAACAACTAGTCATAAATTTTCAATAGACTTGAAGCCTATACTAGCCTATAATCTGTTGATGGTTTAGTACATTTATTTCTCAAGAATGGTTATGTTAGAGTCCTTGGTTCGTGACAAGTTTACGTCAAATAGTGTCAAGCAAAGGTTTTCATTATACATGAAGTTTTTCTAAATTATTAATTAAGTTCATTAAACTGCAATTGTACATTACATAAAGTTTAGTGTCGAAAATGTGAACAGTAGAGAATGTTATGAAAATTAACATACATGTTCCAGAATAAAAAATTTCATGAAACACAATCTAAAAAGAAGTGTTGAAGTATATAGAATAGAAATTCACATCCGTTTCTACAGGTCATGACAGACAGATTAGAAACGGTTCATCATAAATATCTTAGCAATAACACATCACATACGCAGTAGGCATCCCTAATGATGCCTCTCCTTCATCACAAACAACGGTAGACACATTAGCAATGCTGTCCTCTTTCTTCATCACATACCGTGTGTAAAGAACGTTTCGTTATAATAAATAAATGACTTCTTTATTGCATATCTGGTGGATTAAATAAAACGATGGTAACGAAATATATCCAAAAATAGATGGAATAAAATAAGTTTCCAATGATAAACAACAGCAGTGTTACATCGTGTTTCATATATCTATAGATAAATTCTAGTAAACAAACGCAGAATACTACGTTATGTACATAGTCAAATTGAGATAATAGACAATCTTCTAAAATAATTTCAAATCTCTCTTGAATCGTATTTATCGACTAATAAAATATTGTCTAAAACGAAAATCTTACAAATTTTTATTTTTCAATCACAGGTATCAATACAAAAATTTAAAACAATAAATAATTGTATCGATTATAAAACTATGATATTCAAGTAGATTAATAATTAAATGTTATCAAACGATTTCTTGCATTTCGTTCATAAATTCTTTTTACCAGTAAATGTTTATATGCTGTCCAATCGACTTCACGTTGAAGTTTTTTCTGTAGTTCATCATCAGTTACATAAGGTCGAACCTATCAAAAGAAAAACAAAGAAAAAAAAAACCTAAATAAATTATTATATATAAATTACCTCTCGTCGTAATCGATCGAATAAAATTTCTGGTGTCATTTTAATAAAAAAACTTTTACGTATTCGAATACATTCAGCTCCATCAGAGACTAATGTAACACTTAGTGCATTTTTTAATTGTCCAAAAACGACGCTTACTAAACCCTTAAGAAATAAAGATAATTAATAAATCAATATAAAGAATAGTATATTCAGTTTATAACATTATTTTTAATATTTCAACATAAGTAGACAAGTAAATGAATTTATTATTATTATTTTTTTTCAAGCTTAAAGTAAATATAACTTTTAAATACATCTAGTAAACAATTATTTCAAGTAATCTATGGTTTCAAGCATCTTATATTTACTATACAATATGACTTTGAAAGAATTTTCAAGTAAAAAAAAAATGTGACATAAATCTACTTACAAAAACACTTTTTTCACGCATTTGTTCAATTTCAGTATAACATTTAGCGGGTTTAATCGGTGATTTCGGCTTAAAAATATCAATTTAAAATTACAATGAAATTAATCTTTTGTTTTTTTTTTACTTTATTAAATGTGCCTAATGCTTCCATACTATATTGTGAAGTACGTTTTGTACCAAAATTATCATAAATAACTTTAGGTTTTTTTCTTGTTATTAATTTTGGTGTAACTTGTGTTAGTGCTTTAATAACTCGACAAGAACCTGTACGAATAACATAAATCCATTCATCTTCATTTGAATCTTTACTCATTAATGTACCCATACTATAATAAAACTGGTTTTTTTTTAAAAATTTTATTGATTTTTATTTAAAAATATTTTTACCGATAGTAAACAACTTGACAAATATGGGGACTGTCATGCGGAATTTTATCAATAGGAAATCCACGAAACTTAAAGATTAAAATAAATATGGTAAGAATAAAAATTAATAAAAAATTGTTTTTTTTTCTTTTTTTTTTTTACTTCAGGTATTTGTCGTAAAAATGAAATAAAATCGGGTTCGGTTTCTCTATCATTAGCCATAAATATTTTAACAAAATCTTCTCGCTCGATTGCAAGCATCGACACGTCGGTTTGACAACAAACAGTTGCCGTTCTTCGGTGTGCATTGATCAGTGCAACCTCCTACAGTGTAAAAACAACGAAAAAAGAAAAAAGAACGATTATTCGGATTATTATTATAGAAGAATAAATGTCCTTACACCAAACGAGCTTCCTTTTTTAAGTACAGCAACGAGTCTTGAATTGAATACATGTGTTGCTGGATTTTCTCGTAATTTATATACATTAGCTTTGAAATGATACAATAGAAGAAAATTTTTCTTTTTGAATTTAACTTACTGATACCATCGACAATTAAATAGAATTTCTCAGCACGATGTCCTTCACGAAGTATCACCCGACCTCTTTCAAATTCTTCTAATATAGCAACACGTGCTAATGCATATTGTCGTTGAAGAGGAAATTCTATAGATTAAAATTCAAAGTTATATGTTTTTTTTTTATAATAATAGTTTTTGAATTGGTGGAAGCAATCTTTGAATGATTAAAAACAGACAGCCAATCAATGGATAGTTTAAAGTTTTTAAATTACATCTAAACTCTTGTCGTTCTTTTAACAATAGTATTGCATAATTTAAGTCTATAAATTTCTAAATTCAGATATCGATCAAGTCACTACTGAGTTTCTTCGATTCGAATCGGCAAATCAATCAACATCAATAACGACTCAATTATTAAATTCGATGAGAATCTAATGTATTCGACTTTCAGATTTTATTTGATGAAAAAAAATCTTTGAATTAATTTTTTTTTTAATTTACAAACCTGTAAATGACGAAACAGTTTGACCTAATCCAACAACTATCATACGAATATCATCGTCTGTTCTCGTTGCTGGATCAGATTTTAAAAGTTTTCGAATATTTCTTCCAATTGTTTCCTAAATATTTTATTTTTTATTTCATAGAATCAAATAAAATTTTCTTTTTACCTCAACTGGTCGTCGAAAATTACTTAGATCGAAAAGAATTTCTGAATTATTATATAATTGTTCTCTATTATTATGTGATGATTCAATCGCATATTTTCTCACAATTAAACAAACACGAACAGCATAACGAACCAAACGGAAAAATTTCCATAATTTTTTATGCAACTAAATCCAGTAGGAAAAAAAACGAAACAAATAAATAAATATATATATATATATGAATGGTTTTTTTGTCTTATATTAAAAAATACATAATCTCGATTGAATGACTGTCCACGTTTTGTTCGGGTAGGCAGTGCTAAATGTTGATGAAATGAACCTTGTGTTCCTGTTCGATGATATAAACTTGGTGTAGTATCACGAGACGACATCGAAATATGTGCACAAAAAAATGTAAGAAAAGAATTGTATGCGTAGGCTTTTGTAATTATCTTACAGGACGAAGCACGAAAAAGAAAATTAATAAAATAGCATTTAAATGGTTTCCATTCACCATCATCGAAATTACTTTTAGTTCGACAACAGAAAAAAAAACATAACGTTCTACGATTTAAGAAAAAAAGAGATCGATTTATTTATTAAGAAAAAAAAAAGGAAAAAAGAAAAAAAAATTGACAATGTATAAAATTCTAAATCAGTCATGTATTAATAATAAATAGTTCATTATCAATTGATGGTTGATCAACAGTTTCATTTTCTCTCAAAAAATAAGCAAATAAAGTTTTATTTTTTGATAAAATTTACTGTGATTTTGTTTGAATTATCGGTAAATCTTTTTCGTCCAATAGTAATTGAATATCTGGAAGAATTTGTAATGAATGTCCATTTATAATAGTATCTTTATCAGAACTTTTCATATCCACTAAAAGTAAGCAAGTTAATGAAAGTTTTTTTTATAAATTAATAAGGTATTGGGAATTCGTTTTTTTGTCATGGTTGGATTGCAGCTCGTACAGTTACCTCTAAAAATATTGTGTTTGACATATTCAATCGATATTTTTGTAGCGAATATCAGATTAAAAAAAATAAGAAAACTCTATACAAATTGAAATACTCAAAAAACATCAAGTCTCGGTAGTCTCAATGTTTACTGGAATTATTTTATTTACTTTACTTCTCATATGGTTAGGAAAAATTTTTTGAAAAACTGTTCGATAAAGGGCAAAAGTGCGAGACTCACAAACTTTTGACTGTTATAAATATATGGTCTATTGTGAGAGAGGTTAAAACAAATGAATAAATCAAAATAATAACAATTTTTATTAATGATACATGCGTTATGAAATTTTATCATTTCAAAAATATTTGAATTTAGAATTTCTATGCTACCTATTTACTATACAGATGATATACATGGATGTAATCATTCAGTAAGCTTCTGAGCACACTATCCTTTCTCTCGATGAACTTTTGATATATACTGTTGAGTTTTGCCTAAACTTAGAATTCAATTAGTTCGTACTTTTTTATGTCTGTCCTACTCTGATTCTTTTAGATTAATAATACCACTGCCATACTGATTAACACCTATAATCAGATTATTTCACTGCATTAAATACCAAAATTCGCAATATTTAGACTAGTTATAATGTAGGGTAGAAGTCTTAGATGCATAGAATGTTTTAAAAAATTCTAGAAAGTTCTAGGATGATCCAAGTACGATTACACGACATTTGCGCGCCGACACTTGCGCGCCGACATTTTCGCGCACGACACTTGCGCGCACGACACTTACGCGCGTGACATTTGCGCGCAAAATGATTTCTTTTCATGAAATGAGTCTTCGTTTGGGTTTGAGTGTGATGATGGCGGAAGGTGGGTGTCACTGCGATGGGAGAGCAGCAGTTCAAGACAATCCTTCATGGATCTTCACTACCCTAGGGAGAATCTTTGATGTTTCTATGTCTGATCCTTAACGAATCCAATCAGGATCTTTCAAGAATTCGCTGTTTTTTTCCTGAGGAAACGACTAAATCCTGAAAGAAGCGTATAGCCACAGAATTTCAAGATTCTGGTAGGATTCCTAGCAGGATCCAATCAGGATTCTAAACAGATTACATCCAAAGTGCATGAAATCTTGAAAGAATCATCTCTATTATTCCTGTAAAGATACTCAGCAGGATTAAGCTTGAATCCTTGTAGGATCCTGCATTCATGATTTCGAAAAATATCTTGATAGAAACCTGGATAGATCATAAATAGGTCTCTGCCTAAACGTGCGAAGGCCAAGAAAAGTGAGCTCCGCATATAAACTCCAAATTTGGCGCTCAATTTTCTTCTCAATCCTTCTGTTATGATTTATAGCACCACCAAGAGTATTGGTAGCATTACCTTGGATCCCATAGGGATTTCCTGGGATCCCACTAACATTGCCTAGGATGCTAATATCAATTCTCTCGGCTGCTATGGGCACCACCTGAGATGCTACAGGCATTGCCTGGGATGCTATGAGCCCGACGCAAAATGCTACTAGCGTCGTAGGTAATGCCTCTGGCATCCAAGAAGATGCCTCTAGGATCCCCGGTAATGGCTCTAGCGTCCCAGAAAATGCTTCTAGCATCATAGAGAATGCCTTTAGCAACCTAGGAAATATTTCTAGCATGAAGGAGAAGGCTTCTAGCATCACAGAGAATGCTACTAGCACCTCAGGAAATGCTACCAGCATCACAGGGAATGCTAATGGGGTTACAGGGAATGCTACTAGTATCAAAGCGAATGCTTCTAACAGTCCAGGAAATGCTAACAGCAACCTAGGCAATGCTACTGGAATCCCAGGGAATGCTTCAAGCATCCCACTGAATGCCACTAGCATCCCAGGGAACGCTATCAGCATCACAGGTCATGGCTCTAGCATCTCAGGCGATGCTATTAGTATTCGAGGAAATGCCAGTAGCATCCCAGAAAATGCTACTAGCATTCTAGGCGGTGCTATGAACCATAGCAGAGGGACTGAGAAGAAAATGAGCTCCAAATTTAGACTTTACACAATTTGGAGTCTACGCAGTTTGGAGCTTACTTTTCTTGACCGCGTGCGAAACCCTGGAAAAACGAATCATCAAGAACTGCGGCAGGATCTTGAAGAAAACCTGACAAGATCCTTGAAGTCCAGGATGCTGAAAGATTCGTCCAGGATTTCTCAATGAATGGTCAGAATTGAGACTAGGGTAATACTTAACCCTCACGCCCACACGCACAGTCAGCATCTATTTTCTAAGCCACATCCGTAGTCATATCCAACCCAGAACGAAGTCAAGCGCAGAAAAAAATCATTGTGCGCGCAAGTGTCGCACGCGTAAGTGTCGTGCGCGAAAATGTCGGCGCGGAAGTGTCGGCGCGCAAATGTCGTGCCACGTCCAAGTACTGTTAGTACTGACGCACATTTTACAATTACTAGGAAAACGCATCTCCTTCCACTTCCAGTTGTTAGAGTCTAGCGGGAGCCACAAATACCCTCGATTTAAACTTACACTCACTATTTTCTTCGAAAATATATGTGAGTTTCACACCCTGGAAGAAGTGCAGGTCGAAATATTCGAAAATAATAGTGAGGCAGTGTAAGAACCAAAATTAGACGAAAGTGTAAAATCAAAAAAAAATATTCCGAGTTGATGCTTTTGGTGTATTTCAATTTTTATAGACTTTTGCTCCTAATTTTCACGTAAAAATTGTCGTTTGAATATGTCGAAAACAATATTTTAAGAGGTAACTAGACTAGATAGATCCGACCATGACAAGCTTAAATTTCAAATTGCTGCCACTTTACTAACATGTTGAGCAATGTTCTTGATTAGGTTGATTCAAACATTTTTCATCATGTTTATCATATGTACTAAATTGATGAAAAAATTCTAAAGAAAATATTAATAATATTTTATAGATAAAATTCAATGAAATATTTTACTTGTATTCATTGAATTTGATGATGTTAATAATTGAAAATTTGTAATATGTAATGATTGATTAGAAGACAATGACCTATGTAAATAATCTTTTGTGATTCATATTATTGATAATATTTACATTCCAATGAAATTTTTTTTCTTTTGTTATTTATGTTTCTACTGTTAGTCAATAGTAGCTCGTAATACAAATTGCTTGAATTATTTTTACATATCATATGACAAATAAATTCAGTTTTAGTGACTACAAAAAGTCAAACTATTCACTCAATTAAATTTAATAATCAACTGAAAAGAAAACAAATATAAAAACTAGATAATGTTAATCTGCCTTCAAGTGCATCATATAATCATCAGTTAGATTAATATAAATTGTGAATGTTGTATAATGTGATTTATGATTGAAAAGAAATACTATCGATTTTATATTTTTAATATACCATTTATTTGTTTTTGTATTTCTAATGAACAAACAAACAAACAAACAAACAAAAATCACACAATGAATATGATTTGTATTCCTTTATGGTCATTGTTATGTTGAGGTTAAAAACTGACTAGGAAAGTTCATTGACATTCGATTGAAATTGTACCGTCACTCTTAAGATAAAACTATTCGGTTCAAATTTGAAAAAGAAGCTTGCATTCTCGAGTCAAATCTTATTTCGCACTTTTCTGAAAATAGATTTTTTTTTCTTATTCTTGTGTCAAAGAGTTCTCGGCCATTTTACATACTAGAAAGTATTAAATTGAAGAGAAAATTGAGCTTTACAATTTAGTAGAGCTGAAATTTTCATTTTCCACTAACTTTTTGAAAAAAATGAATGTTTTTCTGTAGAGACACTATAATTTTTTTTGAGAGGAAATTTCATCAGATCGGACCCAGTCAAGTTGTAGCGATAGATATTAGCTGCATTTTAAAATCAACTCGAAATCCTTGTCCCGCGAAGACCTACCTTTTGACTCTTGATGTTATGGTAGGTCATAAACAGTTCAATATCTTGGATCGAAATTTTCACTGTGAACTGTTAAGACCCGGACACACATTTCATGAAATATTCCGCTAGATTGGTTACTGTAGAGGAAAAATAGACTTCTGATTGTGAGTTAGTTTTAAAGAATAATAAATCATTCATTGCAATGCTTTCAATTAGGGCTAAAAGTCAATATTCGTCAGAAAATTCGAAATTGAGATGATAGCTTGCGGTCTGAGTTTTCTTTAGCACCTCGCTTTTTGATGATTTCTATGATCTTCTGCTTAAAAAATATGTTCATTTCACAAAAAGTGGGAAATTTCAGAAGAAGTGAGGAAAGAAACCTAAAATTAAATTGAATTGTTTTTTTTTTACTTACTCTGCTGAAGCTTCATGCCATTTAAGACCATCT